CGAGGCTCCCTCGGGTATCTCGCGAGAGCCGGCAAGTGTGTAGGGGACCGGCCGTCTCGCGAGGTTTCGCTCCCACAGCGTCCAGCTCTCGCTCCGCCTCAGAAGATGTCGTCACTTCCGGCGCAGTGTAGCGGGCCGTTCAAACGGGTTCCGGTTGGCGCCCAGCGGGCGCGGCCATGGCGGCGCGGCGGACGCGCTCGGCCGGGGCGGCCCCGGGGGGTGAGTGGGGCCCGCGGGGGCCTGAGGGGGGTGTCATCTCCGCGCCATGGTGCTGGGAGCGGGGGGAGACGGGGGAAGTAGTTGCGGGGGGGCCCTGGAAGGGCGAGTCTGGGCAGCGGCGGATGTGACTTGGGGCAGTGGGGGGGTTGGGGGTGTCCGGGGGGCGGGGCTTTGGGCAGGTGTTTTGGGGTTGGGGCTCGGGCTGGGGGGCTTCGCAGGTCGGGATCTGAGCCCCCTCCTCCCTTGCCCGCAGGCTCGGCCCCCCCTGCCCCGCGGTGCTGGTCGGAGCGCGGCGCCGGCCCCCCGCCCGCCCAGAGGAAGCCCCTGGTGGAGAGGAAGCGCGTGGGGCGGCCGGTGAGTTCCCCGCCCCGGCTCGGCCCTCCGCTCCGAGACTCCTCTCTGCTGCTTTGGGGGCGCTCGGAGCCCCGGTCCTGCGCGGGCGGGGGGTGGCCGCGTCTGGAGACCGGCCGGGGGGCGCGTTCGGTCCTGCCTTTCGGCCGCTCCCTGAGGCGGGGAGCCTGCGGCACCCTGCCTCGTCGCCGCATCTGACGCTTCCCCGTCCGCAGGTGCCGGCCCGGATGTTGAAGCGCCCCATCGTGCTGAAAAAGATCCAGCCCCGGCGGCAGCAGGTGGGTGGAGGGGGAGGCGGCACGGCCCCGAGCCGCCCACGGGGGTGTCTGCGTCTGTGCGTGTTGCACGTTGGCCGCTGGAGGTGGGGGGGGGGCATCTCCGTTCCCTTTGTGCCGCCCAGCCCGCGTGTCGGGACCCCGTTGCCGCGGCAGTGACACGCTGCGTTCACACCCGCCGCACACGGCATCGGAGGCTCCCCATGCCCTGCCCACGTGGGGCTCCCGATCCTGCTCCCTCTCCCCCTGCACACGCACACGTGTGACACCTACGTGCTTAGAGATGTGCTAACGGGGAACTATGCGCATTAGTTTCACTTGTCCTGAAGCTGAACAACAAGCAGCCTGGTCAGCGAGAGGCCCTGGGTTGAGAGCGGTCCGGGACCACTTCATTTTCAGAGTTGAGGGGGTTCCCAGTTTGGGGGGATGAGGGGACCCCGAAACCCCAGCCAGTGGCTGTTGCTGGGGCTGGGGCAGGGTTGGTCTCTGCCCTCCACAGCCTTCAGGGAATGAGCTTGAGTCCCACCCTGTAAGAGGGCAGGGCCCTTGTATTGTGGGTGGGGGAGTCTGAACATCCCCACGCCCTGGGAGCAGCTCCTCACGCCCACCCCAGACCTGGAAGGACTCACTGGGCTGCAGCGAGTGGAGCTAATGCAGGTGTGGTGAAGGGGGAACCAGCATGGGGAGGGATGAAAGACACTGAAAACAGCCTCAGGGGGCTGCGCCTGGCAGGGAGCAGACTGCTTGGAGCTTAGGGTGACCAGGGGTTCAGGAGCCGCGGCGAGGACCTTCACTACCCCTTCCTCCACCTGCACCCATGGTGGCCATGCCCCTCACGGAGGACCTATTTGAGAGGGTAGCGGTAGATATTGTCGGCTCATTGCCACAGAGTGCCCCCAGGTACCAACTGATTATGGTACTGGTTGACTACGTCACCCGGTAGGCGGAGGCAGTACTCCTGCGGTCGGCAAGCACGGAAGGTAGCAGAAGAGCTCTTGCGCTTCTTCAGCAGGCCTGCCAAAGGAGGTTTTAACAGATCAAGGAAACAATTTTATGGCCTGGGTTTTGAAGGAGGTATGTGAAACTCTAGACTCAACACCTGTGAACTTTTTGGTTTACCGCCCGCGCACAGGCAGCCTTCTCGAGCGGTTTAACGAGCGCGCTAAAAATAGCAGTCGGCAGGGCGCCCAACGGTGGGACGAGCTACCCAGGCCTTTAATATTTGCATACCACGAAGCTCCAGAGAGGTCCACGGGACTTCCCCGCTTTGACCTGCTGTACAGTCATCACCCACAGGGGTGGTTAGACCTGGTTAAGGAGGGATGGGAAGTACAGCAAGGCTCTCTCCACAGTCCTGTGGCCTGTGTCTTGCAGATGAGAGTGAGACTAGAGGGGGCCTGGTCTATGGCCAGGGAAAACCTACGAGGGCCCAGAACAACAGGCGGCCAGATGTATAACCTCAGGGCACGGGAAAAGCAGTTTGAGGAGGGCACCAGGGTGTTAGTTTTGTTGCCGGATGAGACATCTAAATTCCTGGCCTGGTGGCAAGGGCCGTAGGAAATAATCCACGGGGCCGGCCCAGTAGATTACAAGGTATGGCAGCTGGAAGACCCAGCAAATTTATCATACAAATCTATTTTAAAAAATGGGTCTATAAGGAAGCGCTCTTTATTGCCACGGGCTCCGAGCAGCAAGAGTTCAACCCAGACACGTCTGACCTAGGCAGGTCAGAGGCCGTTTGGCTGGGGCAGCCGTTAACTGCGCTCCAGTAGTGACAGCAAAGGTGGGTTGTGCGGTCCTTCTCAAAGGTGCTCGACTTGCCCAGGGAAGACCGCCTTAATTGAGCACCGGACACAAATGCCACCACGGCAGGTGGGCTGAGAAGGATCCTGCAAAAACTACAAGAGTGGTTCGGGCAGACGGTGGCCGATGGGGTCATTAGGTAATTGTGGAGTGAATGGCACAGTCCTATCATCGTGGGCCCCAAAAAGGACCAGACCGTGCGCCGCTGCATTGATTTCCGGAAAGTTAATCACGTGGCCCGCTTCAATGTGTACCCTATGCCCTGCGTGGAAGACCTACCAGAGAAAATGGGGGGCAGCAGTGTTTCATATCCACCCTTGATCTATCCAAAGGGAACTGGCAAATACCAATGAAGAGCGCTCCTGGGAAAAACTGCATTTGCCACCCTTGGGGGTTATACGAATCCATGCGCGTGCCCGTTGGGCTGCGTGGGGCTGCTGCAGTGTTTCAGAGGCCGACGGACAAGGCGTTAGCCCTGCATCAGGACTGTGCAGCAGCTTACGTCCGTGATGTGGTGATTGAGTCACGGTCGTGGGAGGAACATCGAAAGCACCTTAACGCTGTGCTCCAGGAGCTGCAGTCTGCGGGGCTAGCGGCAAATCCAGGGAAATGCGCCCCAAGTCAAAAAGAGACCCAGTACTTGGGATCCTGCATAGGAGGAGGGCGAATCCAGCCACTAACGGACAAGGTTCAAGCCCTACAGGAGTACCCGAGGCCACAGACAAAAAACCCGATGCAGTCCATTTTAGGGCTCGCCACCTCCTGTGGGTGCCGGGCGCCCGGGTTCTCAGACATCCCCGCGCCGTTGTCGGTGCTAACGCAGGATGCGGCCCCAAGCAGGATCAGCTGGACGCCTGAGACGGAGCAGGCATTTCTAAGAGTTACAAAAGCCCTCTGCACCCAGGCGGTGGGGTTACGTGCCAGACTTCACCAGACCGTTGATACTGTGTACAGGCGCCTTCAATGTGGCATTGGGTGAGGTGCTTTCCGAGGCGGGGGAACATCTGGTGGCCTATATTAGTCAGAAGCTACAGCCCCGGGAGCAGGCGTATGCTGCAGATGAGAGAGAGTTTCTTTGTATAACTGCTCATTTTACAGTTCTGACGAGCCTGGGGTGGCCTCCAAGTGTCATCTACTGGCCTTGTGGCAGCAGAGCAAGGGCCCTGAACAGTGGGTCCTTCGCCAAAGCCAGCAGCAGAAGTAGAAGTGGTTAGCTCTGCTGCGTGGTCTGCCCAGAATCTGCCCCAGCAGCATGCACACCCCCACTTCCTGCTGGGAGGCTGGCCTCCCAGTCTGCCCAGCTGGGCACGGAACTGATCCTGCTGGGCCGTGGGGCTCCGGATGCATGAGGACAGCTGTTTTGTTCTTCCCTTCCAGGTGGCTGAAGCAGCTGCTGCCCCACGGCGCAGTCCCCGGGTGAGTGCTCGCCGGCTCTTTGAAACACCAGGCTGGGGCCGAGCAGGGTGAAGGGGAGGCTGCGTGCCCCAGCTCCCCTTTTGCAAAATGGGGGGGTGGGGCACTTTGAAGGGCGGCCGGGAGGGTGAGAGGGGGGCAAGGCCCACAGGCCAGGTGGCTAGAGATGAGAGCCGGACGCCTGGGTGCTCTTCCAGCTCAGAGGGGTGGGTGATTGATGGGGGCTAGCAGCCTGGGCACCTGAGGACTTCCCTGCTCCGGACGGGGAGTGGAGCCTGGGGAATGAGTGCTGGGCGAGCCTGGATCTTTTCCCAGCTCTGGGAGAGGAGTGGGTGCTGGGAGCCCTGGGCACCTGGGTTCTTTCCCAGCTTTGGACAAGAGAGAAGCTTTGCAGTTAGGCCAGGGGGTGCTGGCTGTTGGGAGGCCTGGGTTCTCTCCCTGCTCAGGGGTGAGGGAGTGAGGGCTGGGGGTGCTAGAGCAGGTGGGGGCTGGGAGCCCGGACACCTGTGTTCTCCCCCAGCTCTGGTTGATTCTGAGTACCCCCTGGGGATCAACAGGCCGTGTCAGGGCACCGTCTTGTGGTCAGAAGCCGGGCCCGACCAGCTCAGGAGTCTTTATCACTTATCACACTGCGTGGGGTGGGAGCGGAGGGGTCTCTTCATGGCTGCTCCCACCTACCGGATGCCTGCAGGATCCCTCAGGCTGTGGGGATCGGGTGGGACAGTATCCCCGGGAGCTCCGCAGGTCCCAGCCTCCCCATCTCTCCGCAGATCTCATCCAGCAGTGGCAAGGAGAATGTTCCGGCTGAGGTCAGCAACGTTGTGGGTCCGTCTACCCCAGCAGAGAAGCCCCTGGTTGAGATCAGCAGCAGCACAATCCTGTCTACCCCGGCTGAGAAGCCCCCAGCCCACACCTCTCCCCCCCTGGACGAGCGGGACACCCTGATGGCTCACAAGGTGCGTCGTTCCTACAGCCGCCTGGACGCCACCTTCTCCCCCGGCTCGGGGCTCTTGGACACGTCCACGCCTGACCGGCGCCGCTCCCTCTTTGGTTTCGCCCTGCTGCTGGCCCCCGACGTCTCCTCCGTTCCCACGGCAGCTGCCCCTGTCCCCGTTGC